GTCCCAATATACACTCCATGTCAATGTTGCCTTCACATCTATGCAAGTCACCCATGCCGTGGGCACTGATGCTCCCTCATACCATCACAGACATTGGCTTCTGCACGTTTCACTGATAAAATCTGGATGGTCCCTTTTGTCTTTTGCACAGAGAACTTCAGACCATCTGAGACAAGCTCGTGCCCAGAGAAATTGGCGGTGTTTCTGCATAGAATTGACTCATGGCTTTCTCCTTACATAATAGATTTTCAAATTGCAGTTCTTCATGCAGCAGCAGACTGTGTTAAGTGGCAATGCTAAAGTATTGACAAAGTATGACAAAGTACTCTTGAGCCCATGTGGCTATATTTATACAGTAACATTGTGACAGGTCAGTCTGCCACTTGCAGGAGCCCTGTCACCGATCCTGTAGCCAGACCCAATGCCACCACTAGATGGGAGCAGAGAGCCGCCTCAGGTAATTAGAGACAACCGGTCACACCTGTATTCGGTTCTACTTCAGAGTGGCTCTTTGTTCTGTGCTCAATCATGAGTTTGCATACACCTCTTGATCAAGTCGGTATTTGGGTAATTGCTCTCAAGTCTCTCAGAGTTTGCTCCTGATCCCTTTAAGCTTTGCTCTCCAGTCACTTGTGACAACAACGTAAGAGGTTTTTTTTTGAAAAATTAATGAACAAAAGAAGACAAAGGGAATAAAGTAAACAAAATTTGTTATTTTCAATGTTTCCCCCTCTTTCTTGAGCCTTTGGCTAGCCCCACTTTCAGTTTAGTTTTTGAGTGGTTGTGTAGCTGAGTTGGCTGCACATGGGTCAGTTACCCTCTAGACCACAGTTTAAAATCCAGCGTAGGGTGTTTCTTGGTTTCTCCTCTTTGGGGTAGTTTTATTTAAGGCTTCTCTCTGGCATCTGGGCCAGAATTTCTAGACTTTGTTACAGTATTCATTTTGTTTTTTTACAGCCACGTGCCTTTGTGCTCTGCCATTGAGGTCCTTTTCTGTCCACAGCTGGTGGCTCAACCAGTAATCCTTTGGCCTTCCATACCTGGAGGCCTGGGTTCAGTTCCACCTTTGGTCGAACCTTGTAATATAGCATGATGGTTTCTCATGCAGTGCTGAGGGCTTGAAGGTCATGCCCATTCAACAGTGGTATCTGACCTTGCCCTACGCAGACTAAGATTTCTCTGGATTCTCTGAATCTTTTTACAGTATTATGTACAGTAAATGGCGAAAGACCTAAATTCTTTGCAGTCTTGCATTGAGAATTTTTCTTTTTCAACTGTGACTATTCTCTCACAGTGTGATGAGACACTGCCCATCTTTGCAAAGACTGAGCCTTTGGTGGATGCTGCTTTTTATACCCTGTCATGATACCCTCACCTGTTACCAATTCACCTGCTTATTGTGGAATGTTTAAAAGAGGTGTACCTTCAATATTGTATGAACTTTTCACTCTTTTTTTCCCCATCCCAATTTTTTTGTGTTTGTTGTAGACAATAAATTGAAAATGTTCTTTTGTTTACAAAATACAACTTGGTCAGCCAAAACATTGAACGTCGTTTCAGTTAAATAAAGGTTCAAGAGAAATAACAAATCACATCTTTTTGTTTTTATTATTTTTTTATTATTATTTATTTTACAAAGTATCTCAACTTTTTTTAAATGGAGTTTGTACTATTAAGCTTTACCAACTTCAAACCAGTGAACTTGGAAATTTTGAAGCAATGAGTTTCCTGTTTTTTTTTTGTTTGTTTGTTTGTTTTTTCTAACTTTTTACAATTTACAGTTTATTGGAGTATTTTAACATAATTTGAACCTATTTTTTACCCGGGAACCAAGACCCTGTTAAAGTTTGCTTACGTTGTAAACACAAAAAGTTTGGACAGTAAACTTGTCAGTGTAGCCTCTGTTAGCCAGAACCAAATGTGGTTAGCAGAGCTGTTACTTATGCTAGTTAATGCTAATCAACACCTAGTTAGCAGCACCGTGTAACATTTTCCAGCTGATAGATTGATGGTTTGACATTTATTGAATGACGGATTGAAAATCATGCACTGGCTCCACTTATTTGGCAACCATGTAAGCAAACTTAACTTTCTATGTAATCAATTTCAGTCTTTAAATAATGCAGAGTGAGGTGACACCTAAGTGATGTAAATATAGAACCAATCAGCAAATAGATGTCATTAAGCCATCCCACCGAATGGTTCTGTGGTCCCGAGCACAATTGGGTAAACAAGTAATTTACATCTGGTTCCCTTTAACAGAACAGAAATGGTCCAAAGTGACTTAGAATAAAATGTCACTGTACTGGCTTACATTAAATATTAAGAATGTTTTAACCTTCTCCTGTAGAGTTACTTCTTTGGAGATGCAAGATTTTTATTAATTTTATTTTATTTTATTTATGTAATTTAATAAACATATACTCCAAGAACAGCTAGTGATATATAGTAAAACAAGCCAGAAAGCCATTTTGAATAACACCATGTCGTGGGGAGAAAATAACCCACTATTTGATTTGGAATCTAGGAGACTATAACATAAAATAAAAGACCAGCACAACAAAGTCAGAATAAAGCCACAAAGTTATATTTTCTCTCTTTTTTCTATTGCCAGGTTACATGGTTTACATGAACATACATTAATTACAGATTGTAATGATCAGAGCAGGAGTAATGGCGTCAGGGTGGGCTAAGGCCAAAACAACAAAAGAGGAACTAACCAACCACAAAGCTTCCTTCCCTCAACCAAAACAAAGGGGAAATGAAAGACAATCACCTTCCCTAACTCCCTATATGTAAAACAGGAGACAAATAAAGGGATCAAAAGAAATGGCACCCACCCCTACAACTCCTATAAGTCTTAGATAATATTAAATTAAGTACAGAGATCCTACTTTTCAGAAATCATGTATCTAAAAGTCAGCGATTAACATGAACAACTACAAGGCTATTAATCTAACAAAGAACACGCAGCAGTTCAAAACCCGAACTGCTGTGGCAGACACTGCTCTTTGGTCAGGGCTTTTTCAGCGTTGTGCCGGTGTTGTCAACAAACTGGCATCCTGCATTGTGTGTAGGCCTCCCTCCAAAGCGGAAAACATCAGCCTGGAAGAAAGACACCGAACAGAAACACAGAGAAAAAGCGCAAAGGAGCAAAACCAGACCATTACAAAATACATCCTAGGGCTGAACAACATGCATTACCGTGTTAAATTGGACAGCATGGAAAATACAGTTCATGCAAAAACGTTGTTTATGATTATCTTTATCAAATGAATACTTAGCACTTTGGCTGTTATTAATCTGCTGACTTTCTGGGACAAATATTTTGAAGAACGATTTGAAGCCTGATGAAACACCCACAACTGACAAAACACATTACATATCGAACAGTTCATTTCAGTTAAGCGGTTTAAGAAATATATGCTCTGTGACTGAATAGTGATGCTAGTATAATCAGAAAACAGTTAATAGCTCATAGTTACATTTGTTATGTTTCACTGATTGGTACTATTACATGACGTACAACATATTGATGTTAGAAATATACAGTGAATAAAAAAAGGCTAATAGTACATAGTATAAATGTTGTTTCAAGATTTCACCATCAAAATTTAGTGATTCACAAACTGTCCACAATTGTTTTATACAGTATGTTGAGTGATGTTAACATGTGACTATGATGGTGTACACCACTCTGTATACTGGTTACATGAAATAACTGTCCAAAATACATTTACACATGATATTTCTCCTATGAAGGAAAAAAAAACAAAACATTTTTTGTGGCAAATGACACTGAAAAGTACATCACACTCAACCTGTGACAGAATAATCTGGAGTGTTTCAGGCTAAACTGACCCGTTTGCGTCAACACTGCTGCTCTGGTGTTCTACAGCTCTGGGTGTTCAAAAACACCCAAAGTCAGCTCGGATCATGTACAGCACCTCCTTGTGGGCTGGAAAAAATGCACAGTGTGTTGCGCTGCCTGGAGAATTGCTATGCACATTAAAGCCGCTTCTGGCTGCCTGTTCATCGTGACTCTCAATATGCTGATATCCTTTTTCTAGGTATAGGCAGAAAATTCTGATAGGGGGCTTTTAGACGACACCCTTTTAAAATGCAAACTGCACCTGTCTTGTGCTTAAAAAGAAGAAGGACGTGCTTTTTAAGGAGGCGAGATAACACATTTGAATAGTAGGTATACAGAAGACTGTGATTTGAGAGAATAGAAAACACTAAACAACTGGAAACCAGTTTATCTTTTTGCCAAGTGTTGCTCAGCTCTGGGTGTTCAAAAACAGGCAAAACTATCTTTTCCTCCGTTGGTGGCCCGAGAGGAGTCATCCTCGATATTGATTGGTCAGTTGTGATGACCTCTGGCACTTTTTCATAGTGCTTAGCGGAGGAGTTGACTGCTTTTCAACGCCAACGCTCGTGTGAAGAAGACATTCAGTGAAATTAGCATTCAAAATCAAGCAGAAAGAGAGATTATGTTCCACAAAAATCTAAATGCTGTTGAATTTTTGATGAATCCATGTTTACTCAGTTCAGTTTAACAATTAGTCCAGACATTTTTTAAAGTCTCTTTTTCCTTAAGTACCAGCTGTTTATACAGGGTGATTGAAAATGATTCAGCCGATTTCAAAGTGATGTATTTCACTTGTAAATCATTACAGATCAGTGCCGTGAACTGTAAATGGTTTAAATGAGAGTAAAGTTTATGTAATTGTACAAGGTCTCAGTATGAACCTCCTCCAGCTGTACAGACAACATCAACGCCATAGTCAAACTCATCACATACTGGATTGAGCATGTCGGGTGTCGCTGCACTCACGGCTCTTTCAGTGCGATTTCGGAGATCATCCAGTGTTGTGGAACCAACGACGAACGCTCTGAGCTGTTGGAGCTTCACTGACCACGAAAATCACACTGCACAGTTCTGACGGATTCACTCTCATTGAAGTGGAGAACGCAGAACGCTTTCTGCTCAGGGGTCTCATCTCCTCTCAGTTGGATTGTGATTGGTTCCTAGGCGCCTCACGGCTGTAAAATTATGGCGCTTTGAAATCGGATTAATCTTTTTTGAATCACCCTGTATTCTGAAATTATCATTCATTACGTTGTGCACCCATTTGATTAATCACTTTCATCATATGAACTGGGATCATATTCGTCACTGTCTGATTCTTCTTCATCAGTGAAGAATTCTTCCTCCAAGTGGTATTCCTGCCTATTGTATTTTTGATGGAGTTTAGGCAGAATGTGGGTTAAGGGGCAACCCTTGCGCAGCATTCTTTTCTCTGGTGTAGTACCACGATCTAACATCTCCTCCAGGATGTCAAAATCTGTAACAAATGGGTGACCTTGTAGTTTTTGTTCGATGCACCTTTTCAATTGGGTCCACTCGATATCTGTCTTCAGTAAACAGTCCTTCGATCGCAGGGCCAGGCTGTGCTTTGGGGTCTCACTCTGTGTTTTCTTCCTATTTGTTTTGCCTTTTTGACCCCAGTCTTCCAATCGCCAGAGCAGAATTGTTGCTAAGATAAGATACTCGACTTTGAAAAAGTAGTGATGTTTATCATGGTCTGCGGTTTTAAATTTCTCTGGATCTAATTTTTTGTAGTTCCTCTTGTTTTGTCTTGCAGTTTCATCGAGCTGAAGATACTGATTGTAATCCCACTTTAAATCATCAATTTCTTCAGCCTGGAGTTTCTTATAGCTTGACAGCTTGTCATCCCGTTTTACTATGTCCCTCAGCTGTAGGGACTGAATGGCTGCCACAATCTCAACAGCATTGATCCTTTTCTGATCCTTTGCTTCCCATTCATGTTGGGTTTCTACCTGCTTTTCTTCTCGCAAAGGTGCAGAGTCCAGTTTCAGTAACAGAGGGCTGTGGTCATTGTCGTTTATTTCAAGGACACAACAGTCAACGACTGAGTTCATGTATTCCTCAGGCATGAAGAAGTAGTCCAGCCTGGACAGAATGGTTTCATCTGATTTTGTTTGCTTACCATTGACTGTCTTTGTGACTTTCTTATTCATTCTATAAGTGAACCATGTCTGATCAATGGATCCATCACTTTTTTCCATTTTATTTCTTCTAAAGACATCAGCCAGTTGAAGACTCCTCGTGAATCTTGCCACAATTGTTTTGGTTTTCTGATGTTGAGGGTTTTTCTGCTTTTTTCCTGTTTCTTCCTCTCTGTATCGCAGTAAGTCTGTGCTGGGTGGTACTATTTTAGCTCTGTCATTCAGGCTGAACGTGGTGTTGAAATCTCCTCCGATCACTAACGTTCCTACAGTCATTGTCTGCAGAAACGGTGAGAGCAGATCTAGAGTTTTGGTGTCTTTTTGATGATTGTACATACACACAAGCGTGTAGCACCGACCAAGCAGTTCACACTGCACAACAACGTAACGCCCGTTTCTGTCGACTTCCTGGTTATAAAGTTTAAATTTCAGTTGTTGTTTATTTTTCACCAAAATGGCCGCCCCTTTTTCCTTGTTGTTATATTGAGTGTAGAAAGCCGTCCAACCTACTAGCTCTATTTTCTGACCCACACCGATACATGTTTCTTGCAAGAAAATGACATCGGGGTGCGACTGTGACAGACGATTCACAGCATCCTGTATCTTTATTTGTTTTTGTCGGTTTATGTTCCAGGTGACAATTTTGAGCACACATTCTCGTTTGTTGTCTGTATCTTCTGCTGACTGCTTCCTTTTGCTGCAGGGGGAGCAATAAAAAAAATCGCTACATAAATACATAATAATTCCACTTAATGTCGGGTATGAAAAACGATCCACAAATTTAAATGTAACACTAAATTCCCCAGCAGTTAACTAAGTCTAACTAAGCCCCAGGATGGTGAGAACATACAATTCATTCTCTGTGGTGCAAAGACAGGAGTGCTGATCTATAAAGCATGTGGAGTTTTTGCACAGATCAGTGAAATAGGAGTATAAATAGGAGGCTGTGTACATATATGCAAACTGAGCATAAATACTGTATTCGAATAAACTATTGAAATATACTTACAGACTTTCGTTAGACATGCTTCTCAGCGTTGATATGATGGTCAGAAACAGACAGTCTGAATATTCAAGGAAGACAGTTGGGGCCTTTTCTAGAAGGTTCCTGCATTATAACAGCAGTGCAAATATGACACTGTTCTTATATCAAGATGTTTTTTGCAAGCTATTTAAATGCATTTAGCATTAATGTGTAACTGGAATTTATATGGGAGTTGAAGTACCAGAAAGCCATGGAATTTGAGGCTAAATTTATTCAGAATAATAAACATTTTGAGCAAATTTACAAGCACATTCATATTTTATGCCTTTGGTATTTTGTTCAAGTTCATCATAAAAGTAAATGTGTTGAAAATACAGGTAAACGCTGAGACGTTAAACCTTGTGTGTTGTTTTTAGCATGTGCGTAGGACCCTATTGCTTTTGCTAAGATTTTTCTTATTATTATTCTTTTTTCTCCTGAAAAACGTAGAGAGAAGAGATCGTAAGTCCAAGAGACACCAAACTTGGTGGGTAGGTGTAGTTTGTGTGCATCTTGCCTGACAACAAAAATGACCCCGATTGGCCAAAGGAGGGCGCTATAGAGCAGAAAAACATGTTTTGCTTCATAACTCCTAAACCAAAATGTGCGGAGACAAAATTTTTGCATAATATGCAAAACCTACTTTTGCGGTCTAGTCCTACAGTTTTCGCCCGGTGCTCATGTAAATGATATCCCAAAATTCACAACAGACTGAACATCAAAAATTATCAAAAACATGTTGACTTTTGTAGAGTATGGCTGCCATATGCTAATTAACCCTTCTGACATAATTTAAAATGAATTTAAACTCTATAACTCGAGAATGCTTCAGCCCAAAATATTGAAACTTGACAGGCACATTCAGAAGAAGATTCTGTGTTGGCATATCAGTTTTGGTGGGCATAAGTCATTAGGGGGTAGGGTAATTGCCAGCTAACTTTTTCTCAGCGTTCAAGCAATCGATCAAGCTGAAACTTGACATACAGCATCTACTGGACAGAGTATAAGTGAATCTGTAAAAACAATTTGATACATTGAAATTTATGGCCGCCATCAGCCAATCAGCATTCAGCAGGCTTTTGACAGGCTTAACACTGACCAATCATCATGAAACTTGAATGGTGTCTTTATGTAGCCACTTTCTAACAATTAGTCAAGTTTAAACAGATTTGGCCACCGGGGGGCGCTAGTAATGAAAATCAATTAATTATTACGTTAGTAATATATAATTATGATTTTGACACAAAATCTATATGAATCAAATGTAGAACAGTGTGCCAAACAAATTTGCAATTACAATTTTATTTTAAAAATGAATTGTTTTTCAGTAATCGTTAACTGTTTGAAAATGATAGTTTTCGAATTAGTCTCTGGATTTTGATCCACCCTCTTCTAGAAATACTCTGTGGAGTCTCTAGGTAAATAATTATCAACGATTAAAACTTGACTTTTTCATTCAACTTGGTGTTGCTCTATCAATTCATTCATTCAAAACTTAAGATATTTGTATAAATTGACATTTGGTCTAGATAGGCCTTTAGGGGTGCATTAGCACTCAAAAACATTAAAAATCAGCAAAAATACTATTACAAGGTTATTACAAAGTCTACAGATAAACAAGTGGTGCCGTTTGATTTAGTTCACTGACCTGAATGACTTTGTAATTACATGTTATGTCAGAAATTTCACTCATTGTCGGGTATTTTGGCTTAAATTTGTTTGGCACACTGTACTTTTCACCGTGGTTGCCTACTAGACCTAAAAGGGCTGATGAGCGCTTGGACCCACTCATTGCCGCTTGCGGCTATATTTTGGTATTATGTTTTTCTTTCATTGTTTTTTTTTTTCCATGCAATTGATCGGAGACCTACAGTCTTTCTAAGGGGGCTGTGTAGCATGTGCCGGCAGCCAGACATGGAGAGAGCTCCTATAATGCTCGGGGAAGCTTTCATGCTACGTCTAGTTTTGTCTCAGACTTTGCCTCAATGGACAGTAGGTTAACATTACTTTTGTGAGCTCAGTTCGCTTAGAGGCGTGTGTTAACGAGGGAATCATTTTTCACAAGCGAGTTCATGGCATTTAACAGGTGACTGTGCTTGGACTGCCTAGGCTATGACACGCTGCGCATCACTGTATAGGATATATAAACCAGACAAAGTAGGCTTTTTAATTAAGATTGTTTTATACCAGCAGCATGTGGTACAATTGCAAAGCGGCAAACTATCCTGAGACACAAACCTGTTCTCCTGCATTGTACATACAGTCCATTAGGACAGAATCAGAGCTATGTGCATGTCTGTTTTTAATAATGTAGCAGAGAGAGTTATCGTAATATAGAGGAAATCTTTGTAGTACAGAGGGAATCGCTGAAGTGTACAAAGAATTATTATAGAACCGAAGGAATCATTGTACAACCCCATTTCCAAAAAAATTGGGACACTGTGCAAAATGTAAATAAAAACAGAATGCAGTGAATAAAATTCACAAGTTGCTAATTTACACAGTGAATTGTTATTCTTGAATTTGCCCGCCGAGGTGAAACCCCTCCTCATCTTTAATTCTGAAAGACTCGGCCTCTTCAGGATGCTCTTTTATGCTTAATCATGTTCCACCAGGTGTTTCTTTCAGCAATACATTACTTTACCAACCTTTTGTTGCCCCTGTCCCAACTTTTTTGAAATGTGTTGCAGGCATCAAAGTCAAAATGGGCATATAGTTTTGAATAAACAATAAAATTTCTCATTTTGAACATTTGATATGTTGTCTTTTTACTGTTTTAATTAAATATGGAGGTTAAATTATTTTCAAATCATTGTTTTCCGTTTATAATTTGCCCTGTCATATTTTTTTTATTTTTTGGAAATAGTGTTGTACAGAAGGAATAATTGTAGCACAGAGAAAATAACTGTAAAACAGAAGGAATCATTGTAGTACAGAGTGAATCATTGTAGAATAGGGAGAATAACTGTAGAACAAAGGGAATCATTGTAAAACAGAAGGAATTATTGTAGTACAAACAGCAGGGATGGACTGGCCATCTGAAAGACTGCGACAAATCCCAGTGGACTGCTATGTGTGTGGGCCATTGAGAGAGTGAGGGACAGAAATGCATGCTCGTTTTCCTGCTGTAGTCCTAAATAAAATGAATGGAGAACCCCCACAGTCATTCAGTCTGCTTTGACACTAAGACCACTGACGGCTAGCTTAATGTAGACACTTGCTAAGTACCTAGCTAGCTTACTAGCAGTCATGCCCATGTATGGGCATGCACCAACTCACTGTAACTATGATTAAGCATGGGGGATGTGTTGTTGCAGTTTCACTGTGCAGGTCACTGTGGTTGTATGTTATGCCTGAACATAAATAGTCTGTGGACTGTGTAGCCTGAACACCGTGAACCGCACTGAGGCAATCGGAACAACATTTAAAGATGGTCAACATTAAAGCACTATGTACGACACCATCCTCTCACAAAATCCAGCTTAATTTTAGCCCAAGTTTGTTCAGGCAGCACTTTGGACTGTCCTGTTTTGCGACCGTCTGAGTGGAACAGAAAGATGACATCACAAAAACAATGGAAGCTTGTTTCTGATCTTTATTCCTTTTACATTATTTTGATATATAAATATGATTAAAGATGCGCAGACTTTTCTCCTGGCAGATCACGACTGGTGAACTAAACCATCATCACATTGCGATCTCTTGAAACTGAGCTCACAATTATATTTTATTATTGTATTTTATTAAACAGCCAATCAATAAAAAAAGCATTCATTACTCTCAGTGCAAGTTCATATAAAGTGGTTTTGGACTGTTTCTAATGTTCCATTAATAGTGTTCAAGTAAAAAAAAAAAAAAACTATTAAAAATAAAATGATTTTGTTTGACAGTGACACTATGTTGCTGCATACAAACCATTGATTTTCCTACAGATTACTGTATTGGTTATTGGCCTATGAATTGTGCCATTCACATCAACTCCAAACATCCAGACATTTATGCATTATAGAAAGGATCTTTAATTAATATATCAAGTCATGGTATATACATTACATTAATACTTAACGATTGCCATTATTAAAGGCTATTTTTATATGATTTGATTTGTTATTAGTATATATGCTACATTACTTCCTGACATGGTAAGTATTAGCCTGTGCGTTAATTCACTATGATGTAAGCATTGGTTAAGTATTAATACTTAATGCTTATTTGCGGACCAGTATTGGAAATTGTTACCAATGTTTTTGTAAGGTATTTTCCCTGATACTCACTCAGACTCAGGCGCGTCGTGTTCTGAGGTCTTCAGTGCGTCACAGGTTTTATGAGTTTCACCAGAGCTCATCTGCAGGCGTGCACCAGTGTCTCAGAGAACAGCCCTTTTTATATGTGAACGTAGAGGAAGTTCTGCGTTTTCTGCTCTACTTCGTGTTGTTTTTTTCCACTGTGGTTTCAGAAGTCTATTTCTGCTGTTTCAGCATCTGCTGCTGCCTTCACTAGTCATTCTATGATGGTAGCAGTCTTTCTGTTAGCACACACTTCTACTGCTCTTGCTTTTACACTGTATTTATATGTCAATATTTGTATATGTCTTAGAAACACATTTTCAGCAGTTCAAGATATGCCTTTAGATAAAAAATGAAAATCATACATTCAGTCAGATGGGTCCAAAGATTTCCAAACTGGACCTGCATGCTGAAGCAGAAGTTCTCAAACTACAAGAAGTTCTTGTGGCCCACCAGACATTCTTCATTTTTGCTTTATCATAGCTCGCATGTACCTGTGGTCACATTGGACAAACAAGTTTACAGAAAGAGGATTAACATTAGCCAACAATGCAAAATAACCCACCGCACATGGTAACTGCACTACTGTTCTAGCTACTTCTGTCAGATATTCCACTGGCTTTCAGGTCAATTCTTCCAAACTGCCCCATAGTTAAAGGAATAAACAGTAAACCAACTCATTCAGAGTGGTTTGGTGTGAAATGCTCTGTTCTAGAGAAACTTACCGAGTCAGAACTGTTCACAGTGGTGGTGATAGGAACCAGACGTCCACCTCTAAAAGCTCCCTCACAGAAAGTTACTACAGGAAACGGTTATGAATTCACTGCCTGATGACTGAGACACTGTTTTATGATAGTTTGAGTAGATTCTGGCCTTAAAATCATTTCATGGTGGAGGGATACATAATATGCAGGGTGTTGTGAAGCAAAATAGTCCCCAAAGAAAACTTATTATTTCAGATTTTCCACTATTTTCATCATCAACATTCCATATAAACTCAGAAGACTCGTGTAGGTTCACTGGTGGTTCTGGATAGTAAATAAAATGTCTATATTTGTGTTGTAGTCATGGCGACCCCTGGTTCCTATCACCACCACTGTAAAGAAATGTGAGAATCTGAGAGTTGAAGCGCCTTGTGAGGAAAGACATTTGGTTTCAGTTCTTTCCTCTGATCATGTTTTTTGATGTATATGTGAATGTGTCAAATAAATATGATATGAATTATACTTCTTATATTTCTTTTTTCTTCAAGTGAATTTGAAAGGAAACCTTCTGACAGCACTTCTCAGACCATCTGTTAACCACCTGGGCAGTGCTGAATCATGGGTAGTGTTCAGGATCGTCAAATGAGAGATCTGGTCTGATCTGGCTGTGTAATTACAGTAAGGCTCGATTATAAAGCAAAACAGGAGCTGTTTAGTTTTCACAATGCATGAATCTCAAATGAACCACACAATTACAAGAACTGCTCTGAGTTTGGTCAGGTGGTTGGTTTAATCTTAGCTCAAGCCCACGCATACTTGCACCATACAATTATTACAGGTTTTTTTTATGATTAATTAAGCACAATTTTGAAAACAGGGCTTATTTTACTATACACAGTTCATACAGCCACACACACACACACACACACACAGAACACCACACATCTTTTGCAATGAATGAAACACTTCATTCAAAACTGTACAGTAATTTATTAAGGTCCCACTTTATATTAAGTGTCTCTAATAACTGTGTAGTTACACATGAATAACATATGCGACAAACAATTGCAACTACTGATTAATTAGTCAATGTTACAGATGGATTATAGAAGTACAGCCTATGTAATTACACATGTGTATCAACTTCAGTTTTGCCTCATGTAATTTCACAAGTGCATCTTCTACACAGGAACTTTCCTGTAGTTTAGGGTTTAAAGTTATTCCTTAAAATAAGTGGACAGTTCCTGTGTAGTTATTATGTAGGTACTCTGTAATAATGCAGTGGTAATATAGTTCCTTTAGGTTTAATGCAACAGACTAATTAACGTCATAACAGTAACATGTTAAGATAAAGGGACGTTTGCTGTCCTGTCACATTACAGAATGGTTTAAAGCTGAAACTGGTTACTAGCTAAATGTTAGGAAAGCTGGCAGATACAGTGTAAGTAATGTCTTACTGTCAGTCAATACATACTTAATTTTACTGCAGAAAAAAAAAATTCTGAAAAAAAGCTACTGTTCCAGTCTGATTACAAATGTTATTGTTATAATGTTATATTAATGTTATTACCCTTGTGTAATTACATGAAAGAGAATTGGCTGTTACAACTATAAAGATACACTTGTGTAATTACATGAGGCAAAACTGAAGTTGATACACGTGTAACTACATACTGTGTACATCTGTAACAGTGATTAAATCATTAGTAGTTACACTGTTGTTGCATGTGTTGTTCACATGTAGCTACATGGTTACTAGAGACAATATAAAGTGGGACCGTTATCAAAACCCAACTTTGTCACTGCAAGATCACACAAGCTGATTCTGTTCAAACCAGTTACTCAGAGCTGTGCTGTGTTTTAAATTCAGACTTTGAACCAGCTCAGTAGAATCATACATGTGTGAAAAGATTTATTTTATTTAAGTAGTTTAAATAACTGATGCTCCATCAATAATAGTGATGCCACTAAACAATATAATACACCTGGAAAGAAAATTAGGCAATTAACGGTTCATTGCTGTGACACTGAATTCTTATACAAGACCTCACAACATCCCAGAAACACAGTGCACGTTAGACTAGGACACATCAGTAAATATAGAGGCATACATGGAGTTTTTGATGTTCACCATCAGAGGAAGACATTCACGGTATTTACTGAAGATTAGCAAACATTTTCACACAGAATGTAATTTATTGGCCTTATATTAGATGTTCTTGGTGTTGGTCACCAACCTTTTTATTCACAAAAGGCTGCTGTGGCTGCAGGGTTTTGATGGAGATTTTGCATAAATATTCCCTTAATCAGTAGTCAAATATATAGTTTTGGCTAACAGAGAATATTAATTGTCTCACAAAGAGTCGGCCTTAGACTGTCTGCATAGAAGATTCTAGACACTGGAAAGCCCCTGGGTTCACAAACAGGCCTGTGTGTACCTACTGACCCAGTGAAGAGAGGGGCAAGTTGACTGGTAAAACCGGTTAAAACCAGTTTTTAGGAGTGAGTGCAATTAGTTTCTGAATCCTGGGTTTGAGGCCCCCCGTCTTGTGGTTTTCCTTGCTCAACCACACCAAGATTAACTCAGAATTAAAGGCTTGATTCTGATGTGGTCAGTTGTGTTGTGTTGGCGTATGCTGGCACAGAGATAACACTAAAAGTGCAGTGCACTGAACCTCTGGTTGAGGGTTCAGAGCCTCTGATTTAAACAGTTTAGCTCTAATGTAATCATGGTAATAGATTGACATTAGTGCTGCTTGCTTTTAACTGAGTGCTGTTAGTGCTGCTTTAAACAATGGAGGCAACGTGAAGCAGAGCGGAGTGAAGAGGGCCAGTCTGGTCTGGACGTGTTCTTCCAGGTCATGTCAGAGGGGAGAGAGGTCTGAACGTCTCCCAGGTGGTGGCTGGGTGTCCTCCTTTATACAAGCCAAACACATTCCTGTACTCAGTGCAACACATGAGGGAACATGCACAAAATGGCAGTACAAGTCACAAAGGAATATTACGACCAGGGGTCGTGACAGTTATGTGATAGGAACACAAGTGCTTGGCCAGGTTACTGATAGTCCTGGAGAAAGGTCTGAATTTGAAGCATACTGTGCTGTACCGTGCTACATTTTTAAATTTGTTTTATTTTAATGAATGTGTGTCTTTTTCTCCTTCAGGTCACATTGGATACATTGTACAATTAGAGCTGGGTGATATGGCCAAAAATGTTATCATGATAAACAAAATTCATATTGTTTGATATCGATAAATGTCAAATCATTATTTTTCTTTCAAGTTTGAAGGCTGATTTTTGATCCTGGGTGGTTAATTATCCTTTATGTTCGGAACACAACAAACACTCGTCAAACAGTGGAACATTTCACAGATCTGTCTTAGGAGAGTGGGAGAAAGTTTCTCACAGAGCTTATCTCAGTATTCAGACACCAGCTAGCGACGACTGGATTTCTCTATAGGTTACTATTGTAGTAGTTTGAGGGGTGAACCGCAGTATATCAGCACCAGACAAACGGAGTCCTCTTTTTAGGTATGTTTAAACTGAAAGCGGTGCTTCTGTGCCGTGTTTGATCTACAGTATCATCAATTCTCCGTTTTGTGCAGTGACAGAGCGCTGCTTCAAGTTAGCCAGCTGCTAAAAACAGCTAGCCTGGAAAGCTAGCGCTCTCCCGCTCTCCACTGCCTCACAGCTTCCTCAGTTTACTGTCATTTAAATCAGGGCTGTAATTTACATGAACTCACTTCTTTCTTTCACTTTCGTTGCTTGGGAACGCACCAATACTTAAATATGACTGAGCGCTGTAACAGTGCTGTAGTTGTGAGGATTGTGATTTAACGCTGCTAAAGCTGTTAGGATGTACAGAAAGAGGTGAGTTCACTGTAGGTCAGCTCAGTTACACCACTGACCTCATCACTCACACTCGGTCACAGGAGAACAGATCGCCGGTCGCTCCACTCAAACAGGGAATGTATAACTCCACGTTTCAGACGTTACTAAAGACTCATTTCCCTTGTCGCCCCCTCCCTCTCTCTAACCATTCCGAAAAACTCAGAAGTGCGCCCTCTCCTGGCGAGCGCAGAGTAGTGTCGCTTTCCTTGCAGTAGAAAACACCACCAGGGCTGTCGCTAGAACGTGGAAGTGTGAAAGTGGTGTATTATATCGATAATTTATCAAACCTTTCTTATCGCTCTATCGAGGAAAAGTTATATCGTGATAATTATCGTTATCGTTTTATCACCCAGCCATATGTACATCAAAAGAGCATCAGAGAGCACATATTTTCCTCTCCAAGGCAGCAGAACCACTGGTCAAGACTGAAGGGTGATGTTCAAAAGGAGTACCTGAGTCCTGATTTCAATGCAGGGGAGCGGGGGGGACAACCTAA